TTTTCATTTTCTCAACAGTGCCTTTCAAAGGGAAGACAACTCCATTTGTTTACTTGTTTAGAGAAAGGGTCTCATGTGTGCACAGGCTGGCCTAGAACTCGTCCTGTAGCTGGGGATGCCCTCCAGATCTCCAGATTCTAATCACTCTATCTCTTGAGTGTTGGGATTCCAGGTGTGCCGTTGTGCCTGATTTACAAAGTGTGACAGATGGAACCCAGGGCTCCTGCATGCTGCGGGGTGGGGGTTGGGGGGATGGGGGGGTGAGGGAGTGGGAGGGTGGGGAGGTGGGTGAGGAGGAGTGGGGGGTGATGGAACCTAGGGCTCCTGAATGCTGTGGGGGTGGGGGGAATGGAACCCAGGGCTCCTGCATGCTACAGGGGATGGAACCCAGGGCTCCTGCATGCTGGGGGGGGGGGATAGAACCCAGGGCTCCTGCATGCTGGTGGACCATTCTACTAATCTACTTACAACTCCAGCCCTGAACCTTTTGTTTCCCATGGATTATGTAAAGAATCTTTATATACTGCTAGGAGACTTTCCTATTTATATATTCTTCCTGATATTTTAGACTTTTATTCCTTTTCTGTTTGTTTTGAGACAGTCTTTCTACAAAGCTCTCATTTTCTGGAACTAACTCTGTAGACCAGGCTTGCCTCAAACTCACAGAGATCTACTTGCCTCTGCCTAGAATTCCAAGGCGTGTGCCACCATGGCCCGGTTTGCAGTTGAAATCTTGACCTTCCTAAATCTCTGCCCTTCTTGGATGACTTTTCCGGTCACCTGTTGATACTTTTCCCCCTTCCTCTTCCTGCCAATCCCACAGGCCCTGAAAGTTTCAGTAAAGTCATTGAGAACTCAGTACACTAAAGCCTTCTAGAACGATATCACTGGGGAGTGAGGAGAGGATGCAGCATGGAACTGGTTGTCACCTGAGTGCATTTTAAGAAAACCTACCATATACTTTTCTCAGCATAAGTAGTGTTGGGGCACACATCTCTTTATGATCCCAACACTTGGGAAGTGGTGTTAGAAGGCCCATGTGTTCTAGGCTAACTTGGGCTACATGAGACCCCATCTGAAAAAGAACCCCCCCAACACAGACAAAACAACAGAGAAGGAATACTGAAATGAGCAAACCATTTAAGAAAAGAAAAATGTCAAGAAAATAATCTCAAATAAAAAATAGTTCTTTCTAAGAACCATCTGTCGGTCGTAGTTTCCTTGGGCATGGCAAAGTAGTCTCCACATTTAGCCTTCACTGTCTTCAGTTCACTATAGACTGATGCAAACAGCCTAGATCACAGCTGGACACTTGGACCATCAGGGTGATGTAGGAGCGCCCGGGGCAAGCCTGGCAGCACTTGGAGACAGGCTTACCTCTACCACTTGTTTATCATCTTTGTTAGATATTTCTCAGGTTCAAAGTTCCAGTCGCTGTGAGCCAGCTTGAGGGGAGGAGGAGCAAGCTACACTGACAGCTTTCCAGACCCTTTCTTTGGAATATACCACCCCACTCCACCTCTGCCCACCTTTTTTTGCGGGGGGGGGGGGGGGGGGAGGGCAGGGTCTATATATAAGCCCTGGCTGGTATGGAACTCATTATATAGTTCAGGCTAGTATCTAATTCAGAGATTCACATGCTCTGATACCTGGTGCTGGGATTAAAGTTCAGCTGCACCATACTTGCCTTCCCTCCTTTCCTTTTTTGATTTTTTTTTTTTTTTTTTTTGAAACAGTTTTTCTGTAGCTTTGGAGGCTCTGTAGACTGGGCTGGCCTCAGTCTCATAGAGATCCATCTACCTCAGTCTCCCAAATGCTGGGATTAAAGATGTGTGCCACCACTGCCCAGCTACTCTCCTGCTTTCTTGAACAAAAGTTCAAGACAGGAACCAGAGGACCAGGGAGGATGGTCATCTCTCACTTGCAACATTCAGAAAAAGGTCTGCCTGCCGTCCAGCTCAAGTTGAAGTCCCCTATGGAAGGGCTGCAGTACCTTCTGCCTAGAGCCATCCTGCCATGGAGCATGGACTCCAAAATCTAAGGGTAGGGTCTCCATGCACTCCTGGAAAGAAAAAGACACTTCTGACAGTCTCATGTCCCACTACTAAGATCAGAATTCCTGACTTTGCTGTCTTCTAGTGAGTTTTTAGAAAGAAAGAGCCCCAGAAATGAACTCTTTATTCTGGAAACTCTCCTCTGAAAAAGCTTTCAAGACCCCCACCCCACCCGCCATCAAAGGTACCTCTCGACAGATGCACACATACGAAAAGACATTCTGAAAAAAAGTAAATGTCCTATGGGTAAATGGTGTGACTGCAATGGGATTCCACAAGAGTAAGCACAGAAGAGTGAACTTCGATGTAGGCAATAGAACGAGAGAATTTCAAAGATACTGCTGAGTAAGAAGTGCTAGCCAGGGGCTTGGATATCTGTCCTTCAGTAGCGATGCTTGCCTACCAACAAGGCCACAAGTTCCCTCTCCACTGCAGGGGGAAGAAAAAGTTCCACTCTGGCCATATCACATGACCCCAGAGATAGTTCATAAAGAGACCAAGCTAACCTTTGCTGACCAAAGTTGAAGCAGAGTGATCACCTGGGGTTGGGACTGGGTTGCACCTGAATGAAATGAAAACCTTTGCACACCTTCACCTCCGTGGTGCATACAGGGCCATAACTATATGCACTAAGGTGTAAGAAGGGTTTGCATTCTACTTGTATATAAACCTACCTACCCTTTCTTAATTGGGTTTGCAGGAGGTTGTTTCTTCTTTTACCTATTCTGAGTGTATTTACCCAGTGTTTGGGAATCTATCCCAATGTTGCCATAAAGCTTGAGGAACTTTGCCTGGCGAGGGTGATGTGGGGTCACAAACACACCAGACAGACAGAGCTTAAGTGAAAAATTTTAATTAAAGGGAAGGAAAAGAAAAAGAGGTAAAGAGGCAGAGAGAGAGGACAGAAGAGAAGTGGGAGACAGGAAAAGTCCTGTCTGCCCCAGGGGAACTGTGGGGAAGAGGGCAGGAAAGAGAAGAGAGGGAAAAGAGAGGAGAGCAAAATAGTGCTTAAGTGGGCGGGGGGGGGGTGTCTTTCTTTCAAAGGGGCTCATTGCACCTGCGTGCAGACTACCCAATTGTGGAACCTTGGGTTCCTGAGTGCATTCTACTAGGTGATGGGCAGGTCAGCCTAATGCCTGAATCCTCACACCCAGGACCTTTTTGCTAGGCAGGAACTGAGCTGCAGCCCTTCAGTGCTTCCCTGCCTCCCCCTCCAAAGGGACTTTTTTTCTTAATGCACCAGGGGCAAAGCCTGGAAGCATGCCAGGCAGACCCTAGAGGCCAAGGCAGCTGGCCTCGGGCCATGCCTTAACTTGCACATTCCTGGGCTTATCTCTGGCCCCTCTGCCCCCAGGACTCCCATCTTTCCTCCTTCCCTCCTAAGTAGTAGTATGCAGCTCAGACCTGGGAGGTTGTTGACCCTTGCTGACCAGTATAGCTTGGCCCTTCTGGGTGTGCCTGCTTGGAGGACATCTAGTGCTGATCAAGCTTATCTTGGTCACATAGCCTCCCTCCTTTATTTTCTCCCTTTAGATCCCAAGACTTCCTGCTATCCGCTCTCCGGTAGCTTCAGTGGGTCTCCAGTTCTGCTCTCCTCCCAGGAGCCGTCTTGATAAGAACTTACTTTTGCCTGGGCTTGCTCTTATCTGTCCTCCACACCCCCACCCCTGCCCCACCTTTTAGCATCACCCACTGGTCCTGTTCCTTGCCGACCTGGGGCTTCGTTTAATCTTCAGACATTCCCTCAGGGTTCTTTGCCAGTGCTTGGGGGTTGAGGGCCTTGAGACACAACCGGTGCACGCTTGGAGCACAAGTGCAGAGGACGAAATCTTCCCCACCTCCCAACCTTTGACGCCAGAAGGAATGGAGCCCGGCCCAGGCACTTCGTAAGTGCGGGGTACAGGTCAGTGTGCTTTCCATCCACAGTGTGCTCCCTGGGAATAGCGTTAGGAGCCTCATTTCTCTGAGGCAGGAGCCGCGGCACGAGGTTGGAAAGGACGCGTGTGGTTGCCTGGATCTGAACAGCAACTTCCCCGGGGAAACGCCCTATTTCGGCTGTGGGGGCCCGCGGCTCCCGCCACACCCCTCTCCAGAGTTCCCTCCGGCGCCCGGGCCCAGAAGGTGGGGGGGCTGGCTGGCGTCGGGGAGGGCCACTCATGGGAGGCGGCCACAAAGCCCCGCGTGGCAGAAGCGGCAGTGCAGGAGACGCGGGCCTCGAGGCGCAGCCCCCGCGGCGCGCGCAAACTGCGCGGAACTACTTCAGCGGAGCGGCTGCGGGGCGAGAGTCCCGGTAGCGGCCGCACGGGGATCGAGGCGAGTACGGGCCGCCACAGAGCCGCGGGGAGCCGCGGGCACGGCCACGTGCTCCCCGCCGGGCTCGCACGCTCAGACGCGCCGGGGCCGCGGGGGCCACCGGCGGCAGAACGCGCGCGCCCCGCGCGCACACTCCGGGCACGCACGCCGGCTGCCCCGCCCACCCGCCGCGCCCCGCCCTCCCGCGCGCCCCGCCACGCCCCCGCGGCGCCGGTCGTCGCCCTCCTGTTGGCTGGCCGGCGCATGACGCGCGGCGCCCCCGCCCCCGCCCCTCGTCAGTCACTCGGCGGAGGCGGCGCTGGCGGGGACTAGTCTCGTCCGGAGACTGGCGGCGGCAGCGGCGGCGGCGGCGGCGGCCGGAGCTCGAGCCCAGCGGCGGAGGGCGGGCGGGCGGGCGGCGCGGGGAGGGCGGGGGCCGCTCCGCGACGCTGCGGACCGCGCTTCTCCTCTGAGCGGCGGCGCGCGCAGCGGGCGGGGCGCCGAGGGCCAGCCCGTCCATGACCATGGGCGACAAGAAGAGCCCGACCAGGTACCTGCCGGGCGCCGAGGGGGGGCGGAAGGGGGAGGGCGGCCGCGGCGGGCGGGGACGCCGGCGACTAGGCCGGAGCGGCCGCGCGGGGGAGGCGCGCTAAGATGGAGACCCGGGGGCGGAGGGAGGCGGTGTCGCTTCGCTCGGGCCGGCGGCCGTGCGCGCCGCAGCCATGGCGGCTCCTCCTCAGCCGCCCTCCGCCGCCGCCGCTCCGCCCAGACAAAGGGAGATTTAACCAGGTGGGGCGGGCGGGAGGGCGCGAGCAGGGGCGGGCAGCGCGCGGCGCCGGCCCCTCCGCGCCGCCGCCCGGCCGTCCCGGCTGCCCGCCGCCTTCGGGATCCGGCCCACGGCCCGCGCCGCGCCCCCGCCGCCCCGCGCTCGCGCCCACGAGTCTGCCCGCTTCCTGCGCCCGGCGCGGCCCCGCGTGAGCCTTCGCCGCCAGGCGCTCGGTTCCCGGGGCCGGAGGGGGCACGGCTCCGCGCTGTCCGTCCTCTGGCCCCGGTGCCCGCCAGTGGGGTGGATGGGTGGTCGCCGCGAGAAGTTTCCAGTGTCGGATTCCTGTGAAATGACGACGGCTCACCAGCTCCTGTTTCTCTCCTCTCTCCATCCTCCCTTCGGTTCCTCACTGCTCGGAAGGCCAAAAAGACGAAGCGAAACCTGCTGCAGACGAAGGCTTTTGGGATTGTAGCGTCTGCACCTTCAGGAACAGCGCCGAAGCCTTTAAATGCAGCATCTGCGACGTGCGGAAAGGCACCTCCACCAGGTACTGGAAGGCCAATGTGTTATAGCTTTTGTTGAAAGACTTGTTTGGGCTTTATCTGTTGTGCGGAGGAGAGGGGAGTACTTTATTATTATTGATCGCCCTCTTGCCAACTTGTTGATTACGACCTTTTTTTTTTTTTTTTTTTTTTTTGCGTTTGGGGGGTGGGGGATGTGGTAGGGTTGCTTGCCATTTCAAGTTGGGTGCAGTGTCTCGTGCTAAAATACAGGATTTATGGGAGGGAATTTTCCCATGTTTTTCGTCGTGTTTCAGACAGACACTGCATTTATTTGTTACTGCATCCCTTAGCTTGTGTTGGTATTGGCTCCCAAAGGGGAGAGAGGAAGTGGGGATACTGCTGTGGGTTGTAATACATTAGACCTTTTTGTTTTTTGCCATGTGCAGAGTGGTTTTAATTTGTCCGGGATTAGTTTTTTCCTGAGTTTGATGGTGTTATGGTAGTACAATAAGGCTCGGTTGTGCCTTTTTTTTCCCCTTGAGTTGCAAATGTCCCTTTTTTGCGCTTGAAGATAAATAGGGTTGGAAAGTGTATAGGGGGGTGCTGATGTGTCTCTTTGTTATTAGCTTATTTAGAATGGTAAAGAAGTGTGTGAAATGTTGAGGTGAATAGAGCTTTAAAGTTTGTGTAATGATGTATTAAAACGTTGAAAGGGTTTCTTTTATATTGAGATGAGAGTGGTTAATTGCACATGATAGCAAATGAGTTGGAACTCTACTAATAGTGTAAAAACTGATAGTCTTCCAGGTGTCTTACCCTTTATTTGTGATTTCTGTTGCTAAGCGTTTAGGTTACTGTGTTCTTGCTCTCGTTTAAGGGGACTGTCTTTAGAGCACATGTGAAAGTGAGGTGAGGTTAGAACCTTTCAGGAGTCGAGGTTGATGACCAAAAGTTTCATTTCAGCAGGTGCTTGCTTTTGAGTGGATGGCATCCCATTGTGACTGTAGTTCCACCTGGATGTTGAATGATGTGTCCTGTCAGGGTCTCTTTGCTGTACTTTCACTTGGGATTAGGGAGTTCTGGCTGCAAGTCTGTAACTAGAATGAATTGCCCCAGTTACTGTGGACTGTTTTTTAATTTAACTGACTCCTAAGAAATGAGGTTTTTGAATCAAAACTCAAGAACTGAAATTTACTTGCCTGTAAGATAGCATCTCACGATGTTTGGAGCTAATCTGAAAAGGCAATCCTGTTGCCTCAGTCTCTTGAGTGCTGGGATTGTAGCCCTTTCCACCACACCCAGCTAGTAGTTTTTTTTTTTTTTTTTTTTAAGTAAATTAATGTCAAATTTTTGTATCATAATAGATTTAGCCAAATGGAAAACCCATTTCTGTGGGTTTTGTTCTGTCAAAAATCGGGGATTCCATCAGGCAGCGGCAAAGTCTAGAAATGTATTTGTTACTTAAATCAATAGTAACTGTGTATTATTTATGAGTAATGTTTTTTACATGTAGAATCCCTCTGAGGCCAAAGCTCTTTATTGTGGTTTTGCTTTGAGTGTTACTGTAGATGATGTTCAAGTAAATGACCAGGAAACTAGTAAGAACTTGAGAACCATGCTGGTAAACAGAAACCAGCCAGATTCAAAAGTTTACTTCTGATGTATTGCTGGGAATAATCATCTCATATTGAAATACTTTCCAATTTCTACTTTTATTGAAAAGCCTGACTCACCAACTTTTTGGAAACACGTGAACGGTGTTGACTTTAAGTTTTATCTAAGTTTTCAGATCCACAGATGATGATAGAAATTATAGGACATTTGAGTCTGCCACTTCACAAATGATTAAAGTGCTGTCTTTCAGGGATTTCATGCAGTTGAGTCATTCTGTAGGTTTTGAAGACAGATTTTGCCTTTAAAATGCTAGTCATGATACTCTTTGGACAGAGCTTGTTTGCATTTGGTTGTTATTAGTACTTCAGTGTTTGAGATGTATTCAGAAGTCATTAAGTGGAATGCAAGTAACAGTTTTGGGTCTGTGTTACTCAAGGGTTTCATGAATAAGAAACAAATATGACCAGTGTTCTGCTCTCTGAGCCAGTGTATCCCTTGATTTCTCTGGGATATTATATTGGTTATTACAATATTTTTCTCTTGAACTTTTGCTTGTAGATAGTTTTGTACTTCCAAGATTTCATAGGATCTTGCCATTTTCTCTCTTTCATAGTATTAATCAGGTGGCAGTAGAAAATTTAATTTGGGCGGCGGTGGTGGTGTACACCTTTAATACCAGCACTTGGAAGGCAGAGGTAGACAGATCTCTATACATTCAAGGCCAGCCTGGTCTACAGATCTAGTTTCAGGTCAGGCTCCAAAGCTACACAGAGAAACCCTGTCTCAAAAACAAACAAAAAACTCAATTTGGTTTTGGTCTGGTTTTGCATACTGGGCATTAAAGTCAGGTGTGCAGAAACTTCAACTCAGCCTGGTGTTGGGGCTTGGATGGTAGGTAATAGATGAAAATTGGCAATTAGTGTTTGCTGACACACATGGTTTTGTTGCTCTGAGCTAGTGTTTAAACAGCCTGATCTGGTTAGCTGGCCAGTAGTTACTGTGGAGTTGTTAATTATGCTTGTCTTTTTGCTGCTGGCATCTACCAGTCAACCCAGGAAAAAGCTTTAAATTAGTGGTAGTCCAATAAGACACGGTGCCTTTGTGGATAGGGTTGATATCACTCATTTAATTTAAGTAGGACAATACTTACCCTCATCAAAAAAGAGCATTTATGAAGTTCCTATGATGTGAAAGAAGCAGCTGAAGGGATGGGGAGGTGTTAAAAGGATTGTAGAACGTGCACCCAGGTAAACTAAGCCAAGCTGTAGAGACTGCCAAAGGTGTGTAAACTGGGATTGGAACAGCCTGGCTTGGGAATCAACTAGAAGGAACCCTTCCCCCCATTTCTTTAGAAGGAAAACTGATTTCTACAAAATCAGCTGCCAGCTTTTCTGTTGCAATGTGCAGTAGCATTTTTAACTCTGTAGGTAGATAGCATAGGGATTTTCTGGAGTGGCATAGAGCAGAGTGAAAGGGACAGTCAGAGAAAAACTCCAAGGGAAAAGGAGTAGACACTGACTAATCTAGTGGGATGGTCTGGGAGAAGACCTCCTTATACATTTCTTCATTTTTATTTATGAATGGTCCTGCTGGGCTAAGTTCTGTATTTAGAGATAGTTCTTTGGGTCTGTAACACTTTTCTTTTTTTTTAAATAATTAGTTTATTTTTATTTTATGTGCATTGGTGTTTTGCCTGCATGTATGTCTGTGTGAGAGTGTCAGATCTTGTAGATCAGGAGTTACAGACAGTTGTGAGAACTGCCATGTGGGTGCTGGGAATTGAACCTGGGTCCTCTGGAAGAGCAGCCAATGCTTTTAACCACTGAGCCATCTCTCTAGCCTCATTAATCTGTTATTCTTTTGAGATAGACTCTAGAATGGCCTGTAACTGACTACATAGCCTGGGCAGACTTTGAACTTCTTGGCCCTTTCTTGCTAGTCTAGAGAGTTTGTGTATTACAGCTGTGTGCCATTAAAATCTGGTCTTTCGTCTATAATTTCTTTCTTGCATTCTTGATTTTTTTTAAAAGTATTTTTTATTTTTAATTATGTTCGTTGTGCATGTATTTCCCAGACCAGTTGGAGTTACAGGTGGTTGTTAGCTGCCTGATATAGATGCTGGGAATTGAACCCTGGTCCTCTGAAAACATTAAGTGCTTTTAACCACTGAATGAACTCCAGTTTGTGATTTTTTTTTTTTTAAAGAGCTTTATTGGAGGTATACTTTTACGTATCATAACATTCACTCATCATGAGTGCAGTTACGTGATTTTTCTAACGTCATTTGAAAGAGTGAAAGAGTCACCAACATTCCAAGTTTTAGAACATTGTAAAAATGTCAGTTGGTTTCCTCTTTTCACATTCATTGATACAAATCAAGATTAACAGTGGAGCCTAAAGTGGTTGTGGACTGCTGGAAGATTACCTCCCCACCATGGTGGTACACCCAGCTTGCAAAGATGAGAAGATGAAGGCGCATTTTTGTATGTATAAGATGGCAGGTGTGTGAGAGAGAAACATGATCCCTTTCTTGTAACTTGAAGTATTTCTTGTCATCCTGCTCTGTTAATGAAAGAGGGAAGAAAGAGTAAAGCATTACAAGCCGGATGGTGGCGCTCGCCTTTAGTCCTAGCCTGTGCAGAGGCAGGTGGATCTCTGAGTGAGTTCGAGGCCAGCCTGGTCTACAGAGCTAGTTCCAGGACAGCTTCCAAAACCATAGAGAAACCCTGTCTTGGAAGACACCCCCCCCCAAAAAAAAAAAGAGTAAAGCATTAAGACTGCATGAACTTACATAATTCTTTGTGCTGCTGGTTTGTGTTGGACAGAATAACTTCCTAGACCTTGATTTTTTCTCCAAAGTAGTCTCTTTTGAAGTAGAACAGCATTGCTGTATCTTATATTTAAGTCTTTGATAGTTTCTTTGCTAATAGTGTTACTACATCTTTTTCTTTAGCTATTTAAAAGTCAATCGAGTAATTAATTGGAAATGTTTTGGATCAGTTACTATAGATTTAGAGCTTCATTGTTTTCATCTCCAGATTTTTAACATTCCTTTTTTGTGTGCACACTCCGTGGTAGATGTGGAAGTGAGAGGATAACTTGGACAAGTTGGATTCGTTCCACTCTACCTGTCCTGGCTATCTGCAAAGTTTATGCATATCCCTGTCAACCTTTTGTTTGTTTTCCAGACAGGGTTTCCCTGTGTAGCCCTGGCTGTCCTGGAACTCACTGTTGTAGACTTCACTGGCCCGAACTCTGCCTCTCTCCACCTTCCTAGTTCTGGGACAAACTTCCCAGCATCCCTGTCATCTTTATCATATGCCGTATCTTATCTCAATGTTGAATTGAAAATCTTATTTAATCCCTGGTTAGTTAACTACTGTGAAAAGTTTACTGTTTTTTTTTTTTTTAGAACTTTATGGACAGTAGG